ACTTGTTTTCCAGTTCACATTTCTGCTTCTAGCCCCCATGGTAGTGGGTGGTAATTCTTATGCTTTCATTGGAAGTGTTAACACTTGAACAGTTATGTTTGCATTTGGAACTCTAGCTCTGCCCTGATAGAAAATAAATGATTTGTAAATGTAATCATAACAATGGAAATGCCAGTGCATCTTAATTTATTCAGAGCAATTTAAACTAAGGACCCCTGGAATACAAAATGTAAACAGAATCCCAGTTTATTATTTTGTACATTATTCTTCCTTGCTAAGGACAGTCACCTGTACTTTGACTTTACGGCTTGCAATCTCCTCTTTGATAGGGGTCTCTGGGTGAAGACAGGAGACACCTTCACCCCAGGGATGGTGAATAAGTCAGATCCTGAAGGTCATGTGTTGAAACTCCAAAGAGTAAAGGCATGGGCCTGGGGAGTTAATGGGGATGGCCTCTGGAAAGGCTGGCAATACCGAAAATAGCTTTTTTTGTGTGTGCTAATATTGGAAGGCATTTAATAAGATGGAAAAAGGATCAGGAGCAATTGACAAGGCTGCGTTTATGTCAGCCATAGAAGCTGACACCTTCCAACCTCCCTGTCCCACTGCCTTCATCCTATGGGATGAATCTCCCTTCTCCGTGGCCCCTTCCTTCTACTCTAACCCCAGTCCCCTCCTGCCCTTCCTTGGTTCATTCTACCTTTTAGCCTAAGAGATGAAAGGCAGTCCTTCAAGTCTTGGTAGGGAGAAGCTGCCCTGCTAGTCAGATCCAGCTATCTTGTCTTCTGCTCATTTCATGCGCCTCCAAATAGGATCATGGCTGGCTCTTGCGTCTGCTGCCCATGACCTGCGCTGGGAGATGAGTGTGCAGTGACTGAAAACCAGCATGTTAGAGAAGTGAACGTGACCCAGACAGGCCCCCTCCACCTGGAGCACCTGTCCACGCTCAGGGTAAGAGGCTCATGCACATAAATCCAAATGTACCTGATTGTCATCACTGCAATTAGAGCCAAGTTTTGGGGAGGGATTAAATGAAAGAAGAGCAACCTCATTCTCACATATGATGTGCCTATAACTCAGGGTTGTGGGTAAGTGACCAGATCATGATGTTCAATGTCTTCTTCATTTTCAGACAGGCAACTGACTTACGGCACCGATTCTCTTTTCTAAAACATGGCAATTCTTTTGTTTGAGTAGCAGAATTAAAATTTGAAATTTAAAAGTTTTCAAGTCAATCAGCGACCCTACTCTTAGAGGTATCATATGTAAATACAAACTATTTCAGCAATTTGTCTCAGAAAAAGGGTCAATTTAAAAAATTATTTAAAAGAAAATACAAAAATACAATTCTTTCTCTCTGTATACACCTCTCTCTCTCTCTCTCGCTCGCTCGAAGAAAACAACTGCTTATAAAATGCTTTGGCAGTTTTATGTGCTATTCTTTAAATGTACATTTGACTGAAAGAGCAAGAATATAATGAATTATTTTTAGAAGGTAGTTTTTATTAGATGCATATTTTCTTTCAAGCAATTTGTAACTTTCCATATACATGAGAATATACAAATACTAAGATGTCAGAATGTCCTTGACTTGGCCCAGAGGCCAGGGTCCCATGCTACTCATGCACTCTCTACAACTTAAGAGCAAAAGGAAAGGCATTTCCCTTCATTGCTTTCTGCTGACAGCCACAATGCTCCCCGGTCATATTCAGAGGCTGAGAAAAGTCAGTGACACCTCTTGTTATTCTGACACCTTCATTCCCTGAGTGATTCTCACCACTTTCTGTTTTCTCACCTTACCTGTACTATGAAGGTTTTAGCCATTCCCCAAATTCAAAAAAATCTCAAATATGTGCACAATCATATGAGAAGCAACAGAAAAAAACTCTCTCACTCCCTTTGAAATGAATCCACCCTTTAGTGTCTGGGGATGGTTTATCTGGAGAAGGCATTTGGAATGAAGACCTAAAGTGCCTCCCCAACCCCCATTCAGCTTGAAATATGGAGGCTGGTAAATTGTACTTTTTGTGGCTTTTAAGGCTCAAGTCAGCTTGTTTCCAAATGAATATATTCCTTTCCCCCTTTGCCTATTAATGGTTAAATGCAGAAAATGATACTTACAGTGGTGTGCCTGGGCAAGCAGCATCTTAGTTTTTCAGGCTTCCCTCACCTCTATGGGATCTCTTTGCTCAATGCTCTGCTCAGTGCTAGCCCTGAATGAGTAACTAAGAGTTCATGCTTATTGAGTGTGTAGCATGTCCTAAATGCGGCCTGTGCTTGCCTCATAGACTCCTCCCAACAACCCATGAAATGACTCCTAGGTAATCAATCCTCACCTAGATCTTATGAGTGATGTGAAGTATGTTCCTAGACCTCACACCTCAAGTATTCATTAATCTAGTCTCCTCCTGGAGACCCCTCATTATTTGAGCTGTGATGAGAAGGAGCTCTCTGAAGTCAGAAGCATTCAGTGAAAGACAGCCTGGAGTCTGTGTGAGACTATGTTCAAGCTCTGCAAACCAGACCTATCCTTTTACACCAACCCCTCTTCTTCTTGACCTAAACCTCCTCCTCCTCCTTCTGTGCTTGATTTTTTTCAGGGGCTTTTCCAATCTGCTTGAAGGTTAGGGCTTCTCTCTGACTCCTCTCTGTCCCTCACCTCCAACCCAAATCCACCCCAGTTCTGCTGACTCTGCATCCCCATATGCTGCACGAATACCTCCCTCCTTCCATCCTCACACCTTGAGCTTAGCGGAGGCCATCCTCACCCTGACCTGAGGGCTGTTACTGGTTTCCTTGCCCTAAATGCTCACCCTTCCTGGTCCTCCTTTGGCCATAAAATAATCCTACTGCAACGCCGACCAGGATGCCCTCTGCTCTGCTCATGACTTAGATGGAACAATGCTGTCAAGGTTCCTCACAATCTAGCCTTGTCCTTCCTCCTCCCCAGAGCCTTCCTAACCAGCCCTGTCTCCTTCTACAGCCAAGCTTCGCCATGCAGTACCTGCAGTGAGGCTTCTCTCTCCCCCAGCAAGAGATGATCCAACTCAAATTCCTTCTCATTTAAGAAGCTTCCCCAGCTCTCCCAGGCCCCAAGGCCCTTGCCTGGTTCTAAAAGTTGGTGAAACTTATTAACCATACCTTGGAGGGAAAAATCACACATAAAAGGTGTCATTTTTTAACTGATCATATTCATGTCTTTTCTCCCTACAGCAAGACAAAGACCTGTTTTAAACACATTTACAACCTGTATGTTGCCTTGTACAAGGTAAAAAATTGAACATTTCTCTATTAATTTTGGTATTTCTGTTCAGGCCACTAAATTCAAGAATCAGCAATTCTCTGAGGCTTTCTTTTTATTTTATATAAGAAACTTTTGGAGTGAAGGGAGAGTTTGTCAATAACCTGAGGCATATGGAGGGGAGAGAAAAAGGTTGCTATTTTTCCTCAACATATTTTGATTTGGCTTCCTAGAATTGATGGGCTTAAAACAGCAAATCTACTTTAAACAGATGCCAGATAGATGGATGAATCTTAGACCTTCTATGACAGTAACTTCCTTTTAAAAAGGACCTCTCCCACCCCACCCCCAGCCCAGGCTGTGTATCAAAACCAAGTCACGTGCACAACCCTGACTGCATCACCAGCACCCTTGAGTCTGGGTCACAAGCCCACAGATATTTCCTGCTCCCCGGTGGATCGGGTGTAAACTGAGTTTGCTCGCTCGGGAGCCTCTTTCTGGAAGATGGAACAGCATCCGCAGAAGCACTTGGCAATGTGCTTTTGGAAGAAAACCACGAGGTAGTTTCTAAACTTCTCCCCAACGAAGGCATAGATGATGGGGTTGACACAGCAATGACACATCCCAAGAGTCTCTGTCACCTGCATGGCTTGGTCTAACCTGTTAGAGCTACTGCAATTATTCAGGCCAAAGAAATCCGGGTAGGTGTTCATGAGAAGGACAATGTTGTAGGGAGCCCAGAAGAGAAAGTAGACAATCATGATGGTGAAGATGAGCCTCACAGCCCTGTGCCTCTTCTTCTCATTTCGACACCGAAGCAGGGTTTTAAGGATTCCCGAGTAGCAGAAGACCATGACGAGCAGCGGCAGGACCAGCCCCAAGATGACCATCTTTAATGTCTCGAAATTCTTCCAGAATCGATACTGACTGAATGGAAAATGAGGGCTGCAGCTGTAATGATAACCTTCTTTTTGAGACCTGGTAAAGATGATTCCTGGGAGAGAGGCGAATACAGCCACCACCCAAATGATCACACTTGTCACCACCCCAAAGGTGACCGTCCTGGCTTTTAAAGCAAACACAGCATGGACGATAGCCAGGTACCTATCGATTGTCAGGAGGATGATGAAGAAGATTCCAGAGAAGAAGCCTATAAAATAGAGTGCTGTCAAGAATTGACACATTGTATTTCCGAAGTCCCACTGGCCTGCAGCATAGTGAGCCCAGAAGGGGACAGTAAAAAGGAAAAACAGGTCAGAGATGGCCAGGTTGAGCAGGTAGATGTCAGTCATGCTCTTCGGCCTTTTGCAGTTTATCAGAATGAGGACGACCAGCATGTTACCCACAAAGCCAAAGAGGAACACCATCGAGTAGAGTGGAGGCAGGAGGTGGGCTCCCATTTGCTTCACGTCGATTTTTCGGCAGGGCTCTGATGCACCATAATCGATGTCATAGATTGGAGTTGACACTTGATAATCCATCTTGTTCCACCCTGTGAATAAATAGAAAGTGATCTTTTACGAAGTCCTAGAATGTATTTTGTGGCCCACCATGAATACAAACTGTTTTATACATTGATAGTTTTCAATTGCATACATAGATGTCTACATTGCATGAACTTCGTTTTTGGCCAAACAATGAAGTTTTGCAGTGAAGGGAAAGTTTGCAGCTAGCTTCTCCACTCACTAGATGGAGAGCTTGGCCCTGTCGGGGGAACTCATGAAAGCACCGCTTCACCAAATAAAGTCTTGTGTTCTGTCGCACCATGGAGCAAATGAAGCTTTGATAACAATTTTAAGAAACTGGGTCAAGGAAGGTGCAACTCAGCCTTTTCATTGTTGTTGTTTTTCACACAGGGTCTCACTCTGTTGCCCAGGCTGGAGGGCAGTGGCACGATCATGGCTCACTGCGGCTTCGACCTCCTGGGCTCAAGTGATCCTCTCACCTCACCCTTCCAAGTAGCTGGGGACTACGGGCGCCACCATGCCCAGCTAATTTTATTTCTATAGAGACGAGATCACACTATGTTGCCCAAGCTGGTCTCAAACTTCTGGGCTCAAGCGATCCTCCTGCCTCAGGCTCCCAGAATGCTGGGATTACAGGCATGAGCCACCATGCCCGGATGCAGCCCAGTCTTACAGTCTACATTGACGCTGCCGTTCTCTGGGGTTTGCCCACAAAAAGCATGCACTATGAGCAAGCCAGTCATAATGAAGAGGCCTCGAGGGCACATACAGGCCTCAAGGGCTAATCACTGTTCTAAGCGTCATACCCATTCATTCATTTAATCCTCAGGGCAACCTTATGAGGCAGAAAATAAATTTCACATTTTGCAGACAAGGACCTTGAAGCACAGAGAGGGTAACTTGCTCAAAGCCACACAGCTGGGATGCAACTGATTTTGAATGCGGGCAGCCTGCAATCTTGACCACCAGGCTACCCTGCTTAATTTAAAAGAGAATTAAAGAGCAAGACCATCAGATGGCTGGTGCCGTGAGGTAGTCAGGGTGAAATGGGCGGATGCCCAAGTCTCCCCCCGAGAAGGTCATAGAGGCCAACAGCCAATTGTAAAATCCTCACATTTTCTCTAAAGTTTGTGTTTGTAGTTTCTGAGTTGCCACAATTAAGAGTTCTCATACAAACCCAAGAAATAATAAAGTAAAAAACGTTTCATCTGCCACCACAGATGAATGTCATATATTCTGGGTAGTTTAGTCTTACAACCAGCTGGCTTGCCTCACCTATTTAAATTCAGCTGCTGTAGCTGAGAATTTTCTCTTATTAAACCCTGTGAGTCTCAAACTCTCTGTATCTTAGATTAGGCAGCTGAGAGAAGCCTCAGAAAAGCTCACCTTTAATTTTGAGCCATAAATAATTATATACTAACTGTGCCATGAAACTGATATATTAGAGGAACATTTTATTTGACGTTTGTAATTTGATATTAATTTGGACCATTTTTAGGCTTCCCTCTTTTCTGGAGGAAAAAGAAAAAAGAGAACCAGACTTAGACACAACTTCTTGTGGGCACATATTCAGAAGGCATCTCGTTGGAGAGGGTTTAGTTCTCCTTAGCAGAAGATAAGATTTCAAGATTTCAGCCAAGATTCATGTCTCTGAAAATCTTTCTTTTGAGAGGTAAGAATTGTTAGTTTGCTTTTAAAATACTATTCTTCCCTTTAAAGTCTTTCACTCGTAATCATGATGTGTATCTTTGATGTTATAATAATCTGAAATTCATTCTAAACTCTGACCCTTTCCTTGTCTTAAAGATTACATTTTAAGATAATTCTATGGGCACTTGGTGGTTGCCAAATGTCTTCTCTGGGTTTCCTGTAAAGGCTTTTACTCATCTCAGAAGCTAACTAATAAGCCAAGCAGCTGAGAGGTTACTTACCTGGGAGAGTTTCTTGCAGGGGAACGGATGTTTCAGCTCTTCTGGCCAGATGAGCTGTGCAAATCAAACATATAGACGGTATAAAAGTAGGAAATGCAGCTTCTTTTGAGGGGGGCGGAGTTAAATAATTAAGTGTATAGAAGGAGGAAAGAATCAGAGAACAGTTCTTCTTTTTAAGTTGAGCTTAAAATAAGCTTCAGAAGAGGTCTGGTCTGAAGGTTTATTCAGGAGCTTTCTTCACTGGATTATTTTGTTTTTGTTCTCTGCTCATCCAACTACACAGAAGCTGTTAGAACATATAAAGAATAAAGGATATTAGAGCTAGGAGAACATTTACATTCATCTAGTCAAAAGTCCACATTTTAGTGAAAGAAATTACTATCCAAGAGGCAAGTGATTTGTCCAAGATCACAGGGCTTTTCAACAGTAAGGCTAAAAGGGTGAGAAAATTCTGATTATCTTAAGAGTTGCCATCAATTAAAGCCAACTTAAACCAACTTTAAATGTAGAGGAAGATCCCGGACTTCACATTAACCCTGTGTCCCCTTTTTCTCCCCTCTTCCCATATCCCCTATCCCACCCCAACTCACACGCATGTGCTCACCACCCAATATTATTGTTCTCTGTAAACTAAAACAATCGACTGAAGGGTTTTAACTATAGGCTCACCGATCAGCTGAACAGGTTTCCCATCTTTTTCTGAATCCAGGATCTTAGTGGGGATTTTCACTCTGTTCACTGTTTTGTGACCCTTCAACCCAGGAAGCATTTATGACTTACACTGTGCCGGATACATAGGTGGCAGGATTCTTCACTCCAGATACAATCTATCCAGAGCTATGAGAAATTTTCCACATGACAGAAGTATATGGTCGAGTTCAGAATTCTTTATGACAGTACTGTATACAGTCATATCAAGCTCTCTTGGTGGTTGGTGACATCTGAAAATCTCAAGTATTGTCAGCAGAGCTGAGAAGACAGCAGAGAGCCACTCCTGAGCCACAAGATGCCCTTCTGGGCTTCCTTGGCTCTGTAATCTCTAAGAATAGAATAAAAAGCATTGGCTTGTAATCTCTAAGAAGGCAAAGGAGACCCCAAACAGCAAAATTACATGCTCCCAAACCTACGGAGATAGCCTAACCCAGGGACTAAGCCAGTGGCCTTTGTAGTCAGACTTCCAGGCTGGAAGCCTGTCTCTTCCCTCAGCCTTCTCATCTGGGTGTTGGGCTGAATGACCGTAGTCATTTCAAGGGTTGTTGGGAGGATTCTATGAGGCATCCCCAGCCAGCATCTAGCACATACTATGCACTCAATAAACATCAAACTCTTTGTTACTTTTTCAGCAATTCTTTCTAAGAGAGAGTTCATTTGGTGAAATTCTAACAAAATTGCTTCACTGGAGTCTCTGTCTACATCAGATTAGTTTCAGCAAACTAGAAGCTGAAAAGGTGAAGCTAATCACTGGTGCTTGGAGAAAGAAATGACTGCTTGGGAAAAGCCAGAAAAGTACAGAAATAGCCCAGCGATCAGGGCACCCCACCCCCGCCCCACATAGGGGCACATGTCTGTGTTACAACAGAGCTCGGAAACTGGTAATTGTAACAAGGACAGTGAGTCATCAAGAGAATGTTCACATTCATCCCATGTGTGCATGCTGCTGGGTTTGACCTCCAGCTTCATTACTACTACTGGGTTCTGACCAAATTATTGACTCTCTCTGCCTAGTTTTCTTAACTATAAAGTGGAGCTTTTAGAAAAAACAAATACAAACTTACTCAATACACCTGTGGTGGTGACAGAATGATAACAAGAGTAGAGCCTTTCAGGCACCGGCCCTCGGGGGGCTGTGAAAGCAGGGAAATATACAGCGTGCTTTAGAAAGAGTTAAAAAATAGAGAACAAATGAATATAACATTTTATAGAAAATAGATAACATAAATACAACTTTGGTTTTTAGAAAGATAGCCTTGTATTCACTGGTAATTCACTTGTGCAGAACTCTCGTAGGCTGTCAGACCAACACTGTATTTCTGCTTGTGCCAATTGCTGGTTTTTACTTTCACCATGCAGAGCTGAGGCTTTGCCATGTTCTGTGTGTCTGTCATTAGGGTGACGGAGGAAGTGAAGACATGCTCGCCCCCAGAGGGCAATGTAGGCTAGAGGAGCAGGCTCGGAGTCATACAGACTCTGCTGCTGACTTGCTGTGTGATCCTGGCAAGGTACTTCCACTCCCTGAGCTTCCACTTCCTCATCTGTGAAATGATGTGCTAGGCCTGGGGCGGCTTCCACCCTAAATACTACGTGACTCCATGGCCAAGTTGGTTTGAAAAATACGCACTAGATTGGAAGCAAGGTGAGGCTTCACAGGCTGAAACAAGGAAGCACAGCTTGGCAGTGTGTGTTGCTCCACTTTTGTGTTTGTGGTCCAGAGGTGTATTCTAGTAACCACTCAGGACAGGGGTTCCGCCCAAGGATTCACAAGAAAGTGGGGACCAGTGGGAAATTCTTCAGCATTTAAATGAAATGTTGTTCTGGATACAATAACGACAACAAGCTAGCAGTTTACCATGCTATGACTCAGCTGCTTGGTGTCTGCTACTCTTTCTGCTTTGTCCCTCTCAGTCTGCATGGCTGTTGTTCTCTTAGGTATTATTAAATACATTTGGACTCCCCATGGGAAACAAACTTTCGATCAGTTTGTCACTCTGGACTCCATGCCCATACTGGAGGGTGTTTTGTGCCAGCCCTCCTTTTTGGGGCTTTTTTGTCTTTAAACGGCTGCTCCATGTCTAGTCACTGCACTTGTATTCCAAGCATTGCTTTGCTCGCTCCTTGCCCGCACCATTCCTGGCCCATATTTTCAGAGCACCGTCAACAGGATGGGGAGAATGTTAATTATTCACTTTGGGTGCAAGGGCCAACTGCCTGAGCACAGTGAGCAGGAACCCTGCCATACAGCAGCTGTTGTGAAAATCCCTGGGGCCTGAGTTGACTCTTGGTCAATATCAGTCAACAGTGAGATGGGCTGTAAAAAGAACAAATGAATCTTTTATTTTTAAAAACAAATGTCTAGGCCAGGCGCGGTGGCGCATGCCTGTAATCCCAGCACTTTGGGAAGCCAAGGAAGGTGGATAACTTGAGGTCGGGAGTTTGAGAACAGCCTGGCCAACATGGTGAAACCGTGTCTCTACTAAAAATACAAAAAATTAGTGGGGTGTGGTGGCATGCGCCTGCAGTCCCAGCTACTCAGGAGGCTGAGGTGGGAGAATCTCTTGAACCCAGGAGGTAGAGGTTGCAGTGAGCCGAGATCGCACCATTGTACTCCAGCTTGTGCGACAGTGAGACTCTGTCTCAAAACAAAACAAAACAAACAAAATATCTATTATAAAACCAACACATGCTCATTGTATAAAACTGGGAAAAACAGAAAAAAGGAAAAAATTAGATAAAGCCTCACGATATCAAAACAACGTCTTTTAAAACATGATGTTTCAATCCTGACTTTTCCCATGCACTTTTTGATTAATTGTTCTTACACATATACCATTCTGTAGGTGGCTCCTTTTTCTGGGCAAAGATTATAGTGTAGACATTTTCCTATATTATTAAAAAATTCTTTATAAGTATAGTCCTTTATTTTTATTGAGGAGGAACACACTGATCTTAATGGTACAGCTTGGCGAGTTTTGATATGCATACATGCATGTAACTACCACTCCTGATCAAGATGATAAGAAATATCTTTATCACTTCAGAAGGTACCTTTTGCTCCATGCAGAGGTAAGGGCCACTCTGACTTCATAGAGATTAAATAATCCTGTCTTTAACTTCTATAAATGGAATTGCAGTTACTGTCCTTTTTCCTGTTTGACTTCATTCAACAAAATACTCTTAACTATATTTAACAGAGTTCTGTCATTAGACAGTTGGGCTCTTCCCATTATTCAGTCATGTGAGCAGTGTCGCACCGATTGTCACCATCAGTGCTCTGAGATCCCTGTCAAGAAGGATGTTCTTCCTGTCCCCAGATCTACCTTTACCAGGAGAGCCAGGGAGTCCCCATGATCTTCACAGAAATAGGAAGAATCCACCCCCGTCCAGTGCCACACTTTGTTACCTACGTGCCTCAGCAATGACGCTTGGGTCCTATGATGCCCACCAGGAGACAGTCTCTACCTTCTGCCTCAGACACCTATTATGATGGGTGGGTTGGGAACTCACCATGCTGTTGTCTCCATCCCTGTTTCTGTCCTCTAGACCTTTCCCAGGGTAACCTACTTCCAAGCCAATGGACCACATCCCCCATGGGATTCGTGAAGTTCATGAAACCAAGTGGACACGTGTAGGCTGTCTGCCTCATGGCTTCATTAGATATATTCAAACCTGGTGGGAGCCCCTTAGCTCAGCAGCGCAGTCTTCTCTATGCATTTAGGGGATTTCTTTCAGATCAGTGCCTAGGCATGAGGCTAGTGCAATGTAGGTGTAGTAACAGATGTCTAAGCTAACAGTTAAACGATGCAATAGACCCACTGTGATCTTAAATGAGTCAGATCACATCTGGAGCTCTGTACTCAGCTCTCCACATAACATGAGATTATGTAGGACTTTTCTGGTTGTCCCAGAACTAGCAACTGTGGCCTAAGGCTGAAGGCAAAGAAGTGTTATGTGCTCATAGTTCCAAGGAAAACCACTGACATCTGGGCTCAGACACCTCTCCCAGGGCTTACTGGGAGGTGACAGCACCAGCCCTGTATCCCCACCCATCACATCAACTCCTCTCAGCCTGGTCTGTATATGGAGGCAATTGGGGTGAAGAATGGACTGTAGAAGTGGACAGGATTGATGGGGAGGTGAGTGAGGATTCCTCTCCTCAAAGCTAAGGAAAGGGGCTCTGAAGAAATCATGTGAGGAATAAAGACTTGCAAAAGGAAAGGCCAGCATGGATGGGGACCCCACTGGGCAGCAGACAAGCTGAGCAGGGGGAGTGGGGATTGGAGAGAGGTGATAGAGGTAGATATAGGGTGTGGAAATGAGGCTGCAGAGATCAAGAGTGCCCGGGTCAGCTGGAAGCAGTGGCTCATGCCTGTAATCCCAGCACTTTGGGAGGCTGAGGCGGGTGGATAACCTGAGGTTGGGAGTTTGAGACCAGCCTGACCAACATGGAGAAACCCCATCTCTACTAAAATACAAAATTATCTGGGCATGGTGGCACATGTTTGTAGTCCCAGCTACTTGGGAGTCAGGCAGGAGAATCACTTGAACCCAGGAGGCAGAGGTTGCAGTGAGCTGAGATCGTGCCATTGCACTCCAGCCTGGGCAACAAAAGTGATACTTTGTCTCAAAAAAAAAAGAAAAAAAAAAAGAGTGCCCCTGGGTTAAGTGGTTACCACAGGAGGGAACTGGGCAAGAGCTATCACATTGGGTCTTACCTTCTGGGTAAGACGAGCCCAGAGCTCAGGAAATGGTGGGTTGGAAGAAGTCAAATCAAAGAGAGATCTCGAATGTCTAGATCCACGTGGAGCCCCCACCATCTCTAGGTTCTTGGACGTGACCACACAGTGTGCCTGCCACTCTGGGCATCTTGGCCAACACAGAGTGGACTGTGGCAGTAGCCAGTTAGATAAACACGTTCAGGCATATCTTGGCGAGATTGTGAGTTCAGGTCCAGACCACTACAATAAAGCAAATATCACAAAATAATTTTTTGGTTTCCCAGTGCATATAAAAGTTATGTTTACCGTATACTGTAGTCTATTAAGTGTGCAATAGTATTATGTCAAAGAAAAAACCAATGTACATACCTTAATTACAAAATATTTTATTGCTAAAAATGCTAACCATCATCTGAACCTTCAGCAAATCATAGTCTTTTTGCTGAAGAGGATGGAGGTCTTGTTTTAATGTTGATGGCTGCTGACTGATCAGGGTGGTGGTTGCTAAGGGTTGGGGTGGCTGTAGCAATTTCTAAAAATAAGATGACAATGCAGTTTGCCACATTGGTCAACTGTCCCCTTCACAAAAGATTCCTCTGTATTGTGCGTATCATGTGATGCTATTTGATAGCATTTTACCCACTTCTTTCAAAGTTGGAGTCAATCTTCTCAAACCCTGCCACTGCTTTATCAACTAAATTTATGTAATATTCTAAATCCATTGTTGTCATTTTAACCGTGTTCATAGCATCTTCACCAGGAGGAGATTCCAACTCAAGAGACCACTTTCACTCATCCGTAAGAAGCAACTCTTCACCTGTTCAGGTTTGATCATGAGAGTGCAGCAGTTCAGCCACATCTTCAGGCTCCACTTCTAGTTCTAGTTCTCTTGCTATTTCCACCCACCTGCAGTGACTTCCTCCACTGAAGATGTGAACCCCTAAAAGTCATCCATGGGGGTTGGAATCAATGTCTTTCACATTCCTGTTAATGTTGGTATTTTGACCTCCTCCTGTGAATTACAAATGTTCCTAATGGCATCTAGAAAAATGAATACTTTCCAGAAGCTTTTCTATTTGCTTTGCTCAGATCCATCAATAGAATCACTCTCAGTGGCAGCTATATAAACTAGTTAAGGATATATATATATATACTTCTTAATAGCCCTATGAAATATATTTCTTAATAAGACTTGAAAGCCTTGATCCGTGGACTGTAGGATGGTTGTTAGCAGGCATGAAAACAAGAAGAAAATTCTCATACATCTCCAACACAGCTCTTGAGTGACATGGTGCAGAGCAGTAATATTTTGAAAGGAATCTTTTTCTGAGCAACAGTTCTTAATAGTGGGCTTCAAATATTCAGAAAACCATGCTGCAAATAGATGTGTTATCATCCAGGCTTTATGGTTCCATTTATGGAGCACAGATAGAGTAGATTTAGCATAATTTTTAATGATCCCAGGATTTTCAAAATAGTAAACGAACATTTACTTCAACTTAAAGTCATCAGATGCATTCACCCCTAAAAAGAGAGTCAGCCTGTCCCTTGAAGCTTTGTAGCTTGCACTGACATCTCCTCCCTAGCACTGAAAGTAGTGGATGGCATCTTCTTCCAGCATAAGGCTGTTTTGTCTACATTGAAAATCTGTTGTTTAGTGTAGATACTTTCATCAATTATCTTATCTAGATTTTCTGGATAACTTGCCACAGTTTCTCCCTTAGCATTTGCTGCTTTCAGCATTTTTTATGTTATGGAGATGTTGTCTTGCATTAAACCTCACAAACCAATCTCTGCTAACTTCAGACTTTTCTTCCACGGCTTCCTCATCTCTCTCAGCCTTCATAGCATCGAAGAGAGTTAGTCTTGCTCTGGGTTTGGCTTTGGCTTAAGGGCATGTTGTGGCTGGTTGGATCTTTTCTCCAGACCACTCAAACTTTCTCCATATCAGCAATATGGCTGCTTTGTTTTCTCTTCATTTGTGTGTTCCCTGGAGTAGAACTTAAGTATTCTTTGATAACTTTTCTTGTGCATTCACAATTTGGCTAACTGGCGCAAGAGGCTAGCTTTTGGCCTTTCTTGACTTTCAACCTGTCCTCTTTACTGAGCTTAATCATTTCTAGCTTTTGATTTAACGTGTGAGCCGTGAGACTTTTCCTTTTACTTGAACACTCACGGGCCATTGTAGGATTATTAATTGGCTTAATTTTAATATTATTGTGTCTTGGGGCTAGGCACGATGGCTCACACCTGTAATCTCAGCCCTTTGGGAGGCTGAGGTGGGTGGATTGCTTGAGTCTAGGAGTTCAAGACCAGCCTGGGCAACATGGCAAAACCCCATCTCTACTAAGAGTACAAAAAAAAAAAAAAAAGCCAGGTGTGATGATGCACACCTGTAGTCCCAGCCTGGGAGGCTGAGGTGGGAGAATCACCTGAGCCCAGGGAGGCAGAGGTTGCAGTGAGCTGAAATCATGTCACTGCACTCCAGCCTGGGCAATCAGAGTGAGACTCTGTCTCGAAGAGTATATATATTACTGTGTCTCAGGAACAGGCAGTCAGTGGAGTCAGAACACACACCACATTTATTGATTACGTTTGCCATCTTATATGGGTACACTTTGTGGTGCCCCAAAACAGCTACAATAGTGATGTTAAAGATCACTGATCACAGATCACCATAACAGATATAGAAATAATGACAAAGTTGGAAATATTAGGAGAATTACCAAAATGTGACACAGAGACACAAAACAAGCACGTGCTCTTGGAAGAACAGCACCAATAGACTTGCTTGAGGCAGGGCAGCCACAAACCTTCAGTCTGTAGAAAAAAAGAAAGAAAGAAAGAAAGAAAACCCCAACAATATCTGTAAAGCACAATAAAGCAAGGTATGTCTATGTTAGCCCTTTTTCCTAACCCTCCTCTCCTGCTTCTCAGTGCTTGTCTATGCCTAGAAGAAGGAGATACAAGAGTTCCTCACAAGGTAGACCACTAGGCAAGTGCTGTGGAGGGTGGAGCAGGAGGGGACATAGGGCAGAATGCACCCCCTCCTCTAGGCAGGGCCCTCCAGAATCCAGTCAACCCTAACGCCCCATTGAAACAATGATTGAAGAGAAATGAAATAATTTCATATTGTGAACTGATTTCATTAGGATATGTTACAAGGGATAGTATGAAATAAGATGTTAGTCCACGCCCTTGCCCTTGCTTGCTGGGCCGCTGGGCCCACAGAACCTCTCAGGTGGTGGGAGGGAGAGGATTTTCCCAGCATAATCCTAGGCTCACATCTCACTGTGGCCCCAGACTGGGGCTGCCAAGGCCAGACCTTACATTACAGCACTCTGTTTACACACACACACACACACACACACACACACACACACACACGAGTGCCAAAGTGGCAAAGTCTGAAGAAATTTCCAGCCTCATTGCCCCCACGCCCAGAACCAGTCTCCTCCCCTCAATTCATGCACTGCCTTCCAGAGGTCCGCTCACGCCCAGACTCCACTTCAGTCACACCGTCGCCCCCCTGGGTGGCCCTTGGTGGCTTTTCCTGCAAGCTAATCTCATCTGAGCCCATTTCAATTTGTCAGGGAAGTTTTCATAAGAAGCAAAAACAAAAGAGGAGGAATGGGCTCTTGATGGCTTACTTCCTGGAGGCTTCAGGGCCCCTTTCCAAAATGCTCGCACCTCCCTAGCTGTTGGGGGCATCATGGATCAAGGGGGCGGTGGCATGGGGTGGGCTAAGTCAAGACCCTTTCTTACCAAAAAAAGTCTTCACACACTCATCCCTCAGAATGACGACCTCCCACCTTCCACCTGCTTACCTCAAACAGCCCACTCTAATGTCCCCAGAATAAAGGAGACTTCAGGATTTCACTTTAGAAAAGAAAATGGCTAAAGAGGTGGCTTAGAGAGAGTATTAAGTATAATTAAATTATGATTACAAGAATTTAGATATATTTAATAGCTTGTTAAAAGGTTTGTAACAATATAATTTTATGAATACAAATTTTACATATTTAGTGAATATATTAATGGACTATGTGTTTTAAAGAGATAAAGCAGAAAGATTCCAAATAGTCATAACATTTGAATAAAAGGACATTTTTCTGCTCAAAAAAAAAAAAAAGAAACAGAGATGGCTGGCAGTGTTTGATTGACAGCTTCTTTGGCAGCAACAAAATCCTGCTGTGGCTGTTATTTCTATGATGCAAGACTGTCATTGAGTTAGTCACTCTGTCCTCTGGGCTCTCAGATCTTTCCGCAGATGCCTCTGTTCCTGCTCTGCCCACTGCATTGTGAGAGTTGCCTGCACTCGCCCTTCTCTACCCCTCCCACTCTTCAGCTGGCCCTGGACTTGGAGGTCTAAAGGACACTGGCATTAGCATCCATATTTCTGTTTCCAACCCAGACTGGTACAGGGTAGACCTTCCGGGGCGCTTGTCCTATTGAATTCCATGATGGCAAACAAACGGATAGTTTTCCAGACTCTATTTATGAAGTCACTATATACCACATGTCTTAATCAGCTTTTGTGCTTCTTAACAAACAGCCCTCCAAATTCAGTGGCTTACCACAGCAAACACAGACTTCTTGCTCGTGTTACATGTGACCGTAGCTCCCTGTGTCTTCTTATTTACCAGGGCACATGGGCTGAGGGGTGTGATCTGGAATGGGCCTTCCTGTGGCTAAGTAAAAGGCGCTGCTTGGATGAGGCAGATGTCACTTTTGCTCACATCGCAGCAGCTGAGTCAGTGGTGGACGGGGCAGGCTATGGGGCCTGTAGGGCATGCTGCAAGTCACACCACAAGGGCAGGGGATGTCATCACACAGGGGAAGAAGTGAAAAGTTGTGAACAAAACAATTTTCCACACCACAGTGTAAAAAAATAGCCAGTAAAAAAAATTTTTTTTATCAATATAGAGCATTGCTTTATTTTCCAAATCATAGTTTTTAAAAACAGTATTTACATTTCATCACCATCAAATTAAAACTTTATGCATTCATTAGGAGAATCCAAATACATGAAGGTAAAACTTCCTCTTTGTCCCCACTTCTTCCTGAAACCTTCTTTAGCCATGTGACCTGAACGTAGAGCCATAGTCTAGCTTTGGAGTCTAGCTCCCAAGTTGCCTGGTTCCAGAAGCCCAGTGTTTCTTGCTTGCATCAGATCAAAAACACGCTGGACAACATAAGAACATTCTTATCTTGGCTCAACTAAGAGGAAAGTCTTTGCTTACTTCAGGGAGCTTCTCCAATTTCCTTTCTTTACAAATAGGGTTTAAAAGCTTGATTAGAAGCTAACTTGATTTAGGAGTCCCCACTGGCCAAATAGGGAACAATGTGAGCATCAACAAGGACATCTGCAAAGCACAGAAACACTTGATTGTGATTAAATGCGTGACTTCATAGTGATACAAAACAAAACACCAAAGGCTTTTGGCAGCAAGCTTGAGAGAATGGAGACCCAGCTGAGATGACAGCTATGGAGAGTGTGCTATGATTCGAATGACATCATTACTTAGATGCTGCATCCACACAGGCTAATGTAACAACAGATCACAGACTTCCAACTCCCGTCAATCAACAACTATTGGGTTGACTCAGCAGTCTCCCAAACATACCACCTGCTCCAAACTCGTAAGATCAAAGCTAGAATTGTGTCTGTGACTAATATGGTATTTTTAGGCTTGGCATGACAGTAACTCAAACTAACACTTTACCACATTTGCAAATTGCAGTTTTCAGCTTTAATTTTATTTTTACTATTTCAAAAAGTCTGAACTCTATGCCTGTATCCAAAAATGAGGAACTGGAAGGTAGCTTGGAAAATATTGTATTCCAACCCAGCTGTAGTCTCTCTCCTCTCAGACTTCCTGCCTGGTAACATAGACACTGAGATTCGCATTGTGAATCACACATCTGTGAGGCCAGACGTGTGATTTCCAAAGCAGAGATCTGTCATTTCTGTCTCTAAGCTCCTTCTGTGCCCCGAAAACCGGCTTCAGGGGCTCTGCCAATTGACTTTGCTTCTCCGCAACCATCAAGAAGTTCTTGTGTAGTTTCTTTCACATTCTTTCCTGGTCTCACTCCGGGACCTTCACACACTGGTTTTTGCAGGGGGCAATCCTACAGACGAGAGCTATGTGATAAAGGCTGAGGGGAAACAGACAGGGATGAGGGGAGGGGCAAGGCAGGGAACAGCTACCACAAAACCAACCAGCTTGGATCCAGACAGGAAGCTTTACTAGGTTCTGATGCAGCCCTCCTGGCTCTCCACTTAGTTGATTCTGGAAATATTTCTGCAGTGGTGGCACACAATCCCTGTCGACTGCTCCTGATGGAGGAGCTCATCATTCTCCACCCCCTTCTCATAATCACTGCCTCCTGGAATCAGGCAAGAGCCTATATATATATATACACACACACATACATATATTAGCTCACCATAGATGATGCATCTTTTATAAACAAAAATTTTCTGAATTTTTAGGGTGACACTGGCCTAAGAAGCATGGGAACGATGGGGCTGATATTTCATAGATTTCAAATGTAGGGTGCATGGTTGTCACAGGTAAACTGTAATGAAGCAAAAATGTGCCATGCACTTATGCAAAAGAGAATAATCAGACTCCACCACAGCTCCCAGGTTATTGCAGTTCCCAAACTCTTCTTGACCTGGTGAAGCCTTCAAGGTTAAATACAGGTGGCAGATGGGTCTAAGGACCAGTGTTATCTCCTAGCTGAGTGAGTGAGTCCCTTGCTCACCTTTGTCTTCATCCAGGCTCAGCCATGTTCATGTCTCCCCCCTTCTCCTCTCAGCCCTGACCCCCTCTCCCTCACTCCCATTCATTGGCACCTGTCACATTCTCCTTCTCACCCCCAGCTGGCCCTTGATTTCAAGATATTGATAGAATCAGAGATTGAGTGAACAAATGATGAAGACTAGAAAAAGAGCATTAGCACAAGGCAATGAGGCATTGTCCTGCAGCTGAGATGAGCTTTCGGAGAGTCAAAGTCTCTATCCACAGTTTTTTTCTGCATTATTCCCTGAGCACATGTTGGGTATGCATTGGGTGACATAGTCTGCCTTAGTACACGCAGCCCTGAGGTTCCTGGGCACCTGCTTTATAGGTTTCTATTGTTCAACAAACCCTTGAA